CGGGGCTGCCGACAAAGGGCTTTGATGTCGACAGGGGGAATGTCCAGACTAGCGGCGAGCTGACAAACAGCTGATCAGCTGTTTGTCGGCTCAGCGCGGCAGCCATGTAAATGTAAATGAAGCCGCGATCATTTAAATCGCGGCTTCATTTACCTTTGCCTACAACCCTAATCTACATGCCTCTGCCGACAGAGGCATGTAGTGTAGACACAGCCTAAAAGCTGAAGTCAGTAGTTTGGCCTGGAGCCAGACCCATTGTGACCAGTGGCAGTGACTGGTGAGGGGTCGGTAGGAGAAGTGGCAGGTGGCTGGTAGGAGCAACAGCAGGCAGCCAGCGGGGCGGCTGGCAGAAGCAAGCGGACCACAGGACCAGCACAAAGGTGGCATGGCCTCAGGCTCAATGAGTGGAGTCATCAAGGTGATGTGTCTGGGTCTGCACTGACTGGACAGAGCTGTAAATGCGGTGTTTGAAGTTGGAGAACGTTTGGGTAGGTGAGTGGGACACTTACATTGCTGGACTTGTGAGCCTGAGAGGCAAAGGACATTGCTCAATCTGCTTGAGCTGGGATGGTTACTCATGGGGGTTATGAACTCTGGTTGTGGTATTTTCCCAAGTTAATGCCATGTGACTTCTCTCCCTCTTTTATTAGACGTTTCTTTTCTATGCTCAGACTCTGTGCCTGTGAGCGGGGAAGCATTGCCTCTCAGAGGCACCCAGGGGTGTGTGAATTTCCCAGGGTACTGGGTGGGGGCTGAGCTGGTTCTGTGTGAGATGGATGAAAAGGGACCCCTAGATCCTGAACCTGGCCCTGGCTGCTGCCGGCGCTACCTGGCAGAAGGGTTACAGTAGTAAGAGCCACCCAGCTCTTCTGACATTTAAAAGGCAGCGCTGTAGCACTGCTGCGCCTCTGCCTCCCCTTCCCCACTCCCCACACACTGCAGAGACAGTGCTGGGGGGAACTTGCTTTTAAGCCATCTCTTCCCAGCACTAGCTCCTGCTCCTCGCCCCCTGCTGTCTCTGATAAAGAGGCAGCAAGGGTGGGGGGGAATGTGAGTAGTCGACTCGACTCCCAATAAGCCCAGGAGTATCAGGTAGCCAACTATTTGGCTACTTTTTTACATCCCCGGTGCAATAGTCATGGGAATGCTCCTGGCAGAGCTGCCCCTGTTGTGCCAGAGGGAGGAGGAGCCAAGAGGCCTTTCATCTCTGAGCCAGAAAAGGAACAATGTGTGGATCTGCTGCACCCTTCCACTGAAGAAGAAAACCCCTCAGAACAGGTGAAGCGGAGGAAGACCTGACACTAAAGCAGCCAGGTCGACTTGTCCCTACAGGAAGGGAGCCATGCTGGAGTTGACATGGGAAGGACGTGCACTCAGCCCGTGCTGTGGGGAATGGCTGGAGGTGTTCTTGCTGCAGAGGGCAGCATCAGATGATCTCCTCCCGAGGCCTGCAGGGAAATGTGCTCTCCAGTAGCAGCTGCTGAATCTGTAAAGCCAGGCCAGGGCCTCACAACCAGGATCTAACGAGGGCACTATGATGTTTTAAACAGTACCAACCAACAGCCACCCTCAATGGTTTCAAAAATTAACCTGATCATAGATTCTAAAGATAATGGACTCTTCCAGCAATTCTATTACATTATATGATGACCGGTCTGTAGTAGGGGTACATCGTAGGCACTGCTACCAATGTTCTCTGTAAGCAGAGCGCTTGGGCTGCCATCCGGGAGAGATTCAAATGCCAGCCAGCTGATTAGAAGAGCGCCCACAGCAGCAAGTGTTTCTGCATGTGGTGCACATCTACACATGCCTCAGTGCACATAAAATTTATTCTTGCACATGGATGTAAAAAATTAGAGGGAACATTGACTGCTACAACTGACATGTTATGACACAAGGGGAAAGTAATACCAAAATGAACAAACCCCAGAACATAAAAGCAATATTTCAAAATTTTGAAACAAACGTATTCCAAAACCGCAGTTTGTTGGATATTCCATTCCATGAGAACAGCTGGAAGTCTCTGTTTTTTCATTCTGGATCCAAACAAGAACCGATTATGAATTGTCAACATTTCCTGCAAAATGGAAAACCCGAGTTGTGACCGGCTTCTTTGGCATCACCCGGGGCAGTGTCCTCTTTTTAAAGGCAGTTCTTGTGCAGAGGATGAGAAGTAGCCACAGCCTCCCTTCACCTGCAATCATGTGGAAGTCAGTCACTGGGATTTATGGACAGTTTGGGATACAAGTAAAAGGGGACGTTGAAGTTGATGTATAATGTATTTTCAGTTTATTAGTGCTGGTCCCAAGCTTCAGTTCTGATCCAAAGCTGGATCAGAAAGTTCTCACAGTTTAAAAAGTGAGCAGCCTTAGGGCATATCTATACTGGGGAGTTATTTTGAAATATTAAGGTAAACATCCACACTACCAAGCCCTTATTTCAAAATAATAAGTCCTGCTTGTGCAGAGGAATAGCTTATTTTGAAACATTTATTTTGGGAGTTATTGTTTTGAAATAATTTATTTCAAAATAATTTTCCAGTATAGACATAGCCAGAGGGTATGTCTACATTACAAAGTTAATTCGAACTACCAGCCGTTAGTTTGAATTAACTTTAATAGCAGCTACACATGCAAACCGCTAGTTCGAATTTAATTCCAACTAGCGGAGCGCTTAATTCGAACTAGGTAAACCTCATTCTACGAGGAGTAACGCCTAGTTCGAATTAAGTAGTTCGAATTAAGGGCTGTGTAGCCACTTAATTCGAACTAGTTGGAGGCTAGCCATTTCTAGCTTGCCCTGGTGGCCACTCTGGGCCAAACCAGGGAAACTTTTCTGCCCCTCTCTCAGCCCCAGAGCCCTTAAAGGGGCACGGTTTGGCTACAGTGCCTGTGCCAGTTGCAAGCCTGCCAGCACCCAGCCAGCAGACCCTGCACTTGCCACGGCATGAGCCAGCCACCCACTGCCACCCAGCCCTCCACCTCTTCCCAGGACAAGGCTGGTGGCTCCCAGGAGCCTGCCTGGTGCTGCAAGAGGCGGGCGCCCACCTGGTCTAGTGCGGAGATCGTGGAACTCATTGAGGTTTGGGGGGAGGCCTCCAACGTCCACAACCTCCGCACTAGGCACAGGAATGCAGCCATCTAGGGCAGGATAACTGCCAGCCTGGCCATCAAAGGCCACATGCGAACCCAGGAGCAGGTTTGCATGAAAATCAAGTTGGTCCAGTGAGACCCCCCGACCCTGAGCCCTGAGCTTAGAACATAAGAATGGCCGTACTGGGTCAGACCAAAGGTCCATCTAGCCCAGTAGCCTGTCTGCCGACAGCAGCCAACACCAGGTACCCCAGAGGGGATGGACCGAAGACAGTGACCAAGCAATTTGTCTTGTGCCTTCCATCTCCAGCCTTCCACAAACAGAGGCCAGGGACACCATTCCTACCCTCTGGCTAATACCACTCCATGGACCCAACCTCCATGAATTTATCTAACTTCTCTTTAAACTCTGTTATAGTTCTAGCCTTCACAGCCTCCTGTGGCAAGGAGTTCCACAGGTTGACTATGTGCTGTGTGAAGAAGAAGTTTATTTTATTAGTTTTAAACCTGCTGCCCATTCATTTCATTTGGTGTCCTCTAGTCCTTCTATTATGGGAACTAATGAAGAACTTTTCTTTATTCACCCTCTCCACACCACTCATGATTTTACAGACCTCTATCATATCCCCCCTCAGTCTCCTCTTTTCTAAGCTGAAAACTCCCAGTCTCTTTAGCCTCTCTTCATACGGGACCTGTTCCAAACCCCTGATCATTTTAGTTGCCCTTTTCTGAACCCTTTCCAAGGCCAAAATATCTTTTCTGGGGTGAGGAGACCACATCTGTACACCGTACTGAAGATATGGCATACCATAGTTTGATACTTCCCCTCCTCCTTCTTCCCCTGGCTTCCCCCTTCCAGCTCCCTTCTCCCAGGTTTGTAATGGGTCCACCCCATTACACCCTCTGTGTACAAACCCATAGAAAACTGCTTCCAATAACATGAGCCCCTGTAGCACAAAGCCACTAACCAGCTGCACCAAGCCAAGTCCCCACCTCTACACTGGTGCAGTGCTGGTTCAGCCCCAGGTGAGGCCACATGCACAGCCAGCTGACTGGGCCCTGGGTGCAAGGTCCAGGGTGCAAAGGCCGACCTTCTTCCCTTGCCCCAAGCTATCTTCTATTCTCGATGGGTAGGGTCGGTCTAACCACAGGCTGATGGGTCCTAACCGGAAGCATATGATGTGCCCAGTCAGGCGGAGGTCAGTGGGAAGACAGCTAGATGCCCTTTGGGGGCTCAGCGGATCATTACCCAGGAACTCAGGCACCAGGAAGCAGCTTGTGGAGGAGGTGCCCCTTCAGTTCATCCTGGATGGGCTGGTGCCCTTTGGCTTTGGGGGACATGCTGTGGGACCAGGACCAATGAGCTGCACTAACTGTGTAAGCCTGAATGTGACCTTGCCCCAAAATCCCCCTATTGGCATCAACAGGCTTAGTCCTGATCTATAAACTGACTTACGCAAGCTCACGTCGGGGCCCAGATTTGTATTCATTGGAAGGCAACTGCCAGTTGAATGGCAGTTGATCAACTGCCATTTGAATGGCACGGTGCATGCTGTGCAGCTGGAGGTCGCCTCCCAGCTGTCCCATGGGACTGTACTATCCTGGGGTGTGTCTAGACTACATCCCTTTTCTCGAAAAAGGGATGTAAATTAGACACTTCGAAATAGCAAATGAAGCCGGGATTTAAATTTCCCGCACTTCATTTGCATAATAGTGGCTGCGGTTTTTTTCCACATGGGGCTTTTCGATAGAAAAACAGCAGTTTAGACGGGGGATCTTTTGAAAATAAAACCTTTTTTCGAAAGATCCTGTAAGCCTCATTTTTCATCTGATAACTCTGTCAACAGGAGCGTTGGCGACCTTCAACAGATGACTGACAATGTGATCTGCAGTAACTGCAGGCCAGCTTTGTGCATGTGGACATTGAGTCACACCTCGTCCACAAATTAAGGATGTATTTGGGAGGAGAGAATTGCAAACGCCTACCTCGTCCCCCCACAGCCTTTCAAGTTTTGCCTTCTGAGGGCATTTTTTGTCTGGCTGATTGTCTGTTAATGGAATGACTCACAGTGTCATGCATACGCTTATTCTGAGCTGACCCTGTCATGAAATTGTGACCACTTTTGGCTGGAGTTTGAAGGACTGTTCACCAGCCATTCTTTGTTGGTGTCAGGTGGTGAGCTCTATCAGAATAGTAGGATGCATCTAGGCTCTTTTATTTTTTTCGTTGTAATGGATTTACTGTAAGACTAAGGCCATGTCTATACTATCAAGTTCTGTCAGCAAAACTTATGTCAACACCCAAAGGTCGACAAAACAAAAATCACCAGAGGACGTTCACATTTGCTTCCTCTGTCAACAGATCATGTCCACGCTGGGGGTGCCATCATTGACGG